ATGGCTCACTCACTTAAAATTTACTGATGATATTGTCGTCTTTGGTGAGGACCTGTCCATCCTCCAAGTAATCGTTGACCGCATCTCGTGATATGCCTTCGAGATCGGCTTAGAGGTGGACACATCAAAAACGAAACGTTTGCGACTGTCCAAGTTCATCCCGAAGATGGTTTACTGCCAAACTCCAAGCCGACCGAATACGTCAAAAACTTTGATTACCTGAACTGAACCATACTTCCAAACGGCCAAGCTAAAGTCCATTTATAATTGTGCGTCGATGCTGCAAAAAAGCCGTTTCTATAACTGAAGAATTCCCTTTGGCGTACTAGTGAAATCAGCCTAAAGACAAAAATGAGTTTTTTCCGCTATACAGCTGCGAAACCTGGCCACTTAGAGTCGACGATTAGAAGTATTCGATCACTGGTACCTAATTTCCGAGAGTACGACGGAGGGAACAGTTCCTAAATAAAGCGATCAGAAACTGGCATTTTAGTTTTATACGGTTGTTGACGCTAATGGAACGGCAGTTACTACAATGGTTTACTCACATACTTCATAAGTCTGATAACAACTTGACCGAAACTGCCGTGGGAGTGCTTCCCTGTCCAAACTGGTGGGCAGCTGAAAGCCTGGCCAAAGACGATACACAAGGATACAGAAACCTTGATCTCCGTTCCGTCTATGACAATCGTCAGTGGAATCAAGTTGGATCACAATCTGTGCTGGTGTTGCCCCGGACCATCGAGCGTGATTAGCCGTATTTCGGAATGCCCATGAAGCCGACTGATCCTCTTCCAGGAACCAGTCGCCGTAGAGCAAGCAAGTATATGTAACCGTCCCATATAGTGGCACAACGTTGGCATTAATACAATGACCTGATTTCAAAAGAAATGCTGCCATATTTCTCACTACCAACGCATATAAACTTTTGGCAAGAATCACTGGATCCCGATTCTGCGGATTAGTGTGTCTGCAGTTGGATGTGAAGTATGATTGTATTGGATTCAGACAACAATAATAGCAATCTTGGGCATAATTGTGACCATCAAACATGCTATAACGGATATTCATAAACTCACTTTGATTCTGGGAACCTATATCTTTCTGAAAGATGTGCACACTCACTTTGAATTTACGTACGGTCATCCACGAATTTGAAAATTCTTAGCCACCCCATGTTTTCCAACTAAGCACTCCATACAGGCTAATTTAGTTTGAACATATAACGGAATAAGCTTATGATAAGCATGGCAAAAACTATAACTATCACAGAGATGCCGATTGTTTCAGTTAAATCTACTTACTGACCGGGAAAGGTAAAGGATATACATAGGTTTTCTTCACCCTCACGAAGCGTGGGTAGTTATGATACGGGTATAGATCACCGCGAATCCCCCAAGTTGGCCTGTTTTGTTCTGTGATACGATATTCGTACCGAAAAGGCCGAACATTTCAGAGTTGTATTGATTTTCTGTTGCAGTATGAACAAATTCGTGTGAGTCAGAAGAAAGGTTTCCTAGCTACCCCTGTTAGCTGGCTTCTACTATAATCTTTTCAAATAAACGTCTATCGAACTTTATTTTATGCAGGTCGTAAAA